CTGACCTCTGGGGGATGCAGTTGTAGATGGAAAATTGTACGAGGGCCAATCAGAAAGTAATGCCTCCAGGTCTAAAAGTTGAGATCTCAAATTACAGGCATGGAGGCATTACTCTTTTGATAGACCCTCGTAGTTTAAGTGCAATCAAAGATCTTTGCTAGGGAGGTGAATACGATGGAGTAAAGGATCCATTACCCTACTGCAGTCTTTACATTCTACATCTAGGTAAAAGATATCCATCCAAAATCCTCCTACGACTGGGGAACCCTATTGGGCAGCTGAGTTGTCAGAGGATAGATTTCGCCTCGAGTGCTTGTTGTTATCTGCAGCCAGAATATTCTAAGGCAAAATCAACTTTTTGAAAAAATCTGAAAGTTTTACAAACTGTATTTTAACTTGTACATCCTAAAGAGGAACTTTACCCATCAATTTAATGGTCTCCAAAACAGTTACGTTTTAAGGCATGCCAACAGTCGAGGTTGCCAGTGTGCTAATTTCAGCTCTCAACCGAACTTTTAAGCCCTTAATTGGCTGGGGTCATAGCTGATCACATGTGCAGCGCCATGGCAATGGCAATCCAAATAGAGGCTAAAAATGGCACCTTCCTTGGCTGTAAGGGATAGGAGGTTGTAGTTCCACATTAAGGTCCACTTTAAGGCTTCATTCACACTTGCATTTAGAGATGTGTCTGCAAAATCAGTCAGGCTAGATGCTTTGTTTATGCTTCTAGATGCCGAATATGATGTCCGATTACACGCAAATGTGTTTAGATGCATCTGTCCTTTGCCCATTGACAGTCCACTGAAGCAGCCAATGAGCAAAAAAACGCATCTTGTGTTTACGTTCGTTTAGAAGTAAAAATCAATTCCTGCAGCTAAACTGGCCGCAGGAAAAAGCATCTAAACGCATTGTGTAACCTCTATAGGTTGAACTCGATGGACTTGTCTTTTTTCAACCTAGCAATGTAACTGATCCACTGGAAATCATTAGATGCATATGTATGCGTTCAGAAAACCATTTTATTTAGGAGAAAGTCGCCCGCAGTCCAACATGGTTTTCCGTCAATGCTTTTTATTGACAAATTGTATAGAAAACCATTTTAAATGCATATAAACGCATGTAATGGCACACACTGTGAATGTAGCCTAAGTCTCAGACCTCGTTCACACCAGAGACCGTGCGTTCCGGCTCGAACCTGGCCAGAACGCACTGCGGCCAGCTCACTATGTTGTGGGGCACAATGCAATTGGCCGCACGGGAACGCAAGGCACATTATGCCTGCTGTCTGGTCCGGTCTGAACAAAATGCTGCAAGCACTATTTTGTTCGGAACCGGACCGCAGGCATAATATGCCTTGCTTTCCCGTGGGACCGATCGCATTGTGCTTGGAGGGCGTGGCTACCGTGCCATTCACTTCAATGGACACCACGCCCCCTGCTGCCCCACAACATAGTGAGGTGGCCACAATGCGATAAAGTGTCTGGTGTGAACCAGGGCTCAAACGTTTTATTCTCTATAGTCCAACAATGCTACAAGTTAGGTTTTTCGACTGATATTTACTTGGAAATACCTTGAATTCACAATGGAAATGTGCTTCCCACCTTCCTACTGCAGTGGTCTATGTTGGCATAGATGAGTAATGAACACACCCCTAATCACAAAGGCAGACATGTAATGCGGAGGAAGAGAGGAGGCGTGCCTGACCAGGTCTATTATATTATGGAGTGCACTTGGCAGCCTGGTCTGGTGCCCATTACACTGCGGACAAAATGTGCAACGGCTAGAAGAGGAAAGTGAAGGTAAAACAATGAAAATGGAGGTTATTAGCACAGTGTTTATATGACTAAATATCTATATCATATCTACTCTAGGCATTAAGGTACCCATACACAGACTGAAACGTATGTTCTTAAATTTACAACTCCAATACATAAACAGTAAGATGTTCAAAGTATGATTTCTTCTGACCAGTTCCATCAATTGTTTGCGTGGACTTTACCGAGCCATCAGGCATTGTCAATAGAAATCTTCATACGCTGTATCAGTCTGAAGAGAAATATAAAAATTCCCATTTATCTAACATGTTTGGAGTATGGATACCTCTAGTCTTCGTACTTTAAATATGGCACGAGCATCCAATTCTTGATCCCTGACCTGACCCAAACAAGGGGAGTTGTGTCTACCCTCAACTAACATTCTATTATTATTGTGCGACTGTCTGCCCAAACTTTCTCTCGCAACCTAGAACTAGTCAAACATATTGTTGAAACTCATCCAGGAGTATCAAAAAATGTTTTAAACTATAATAAAAAAGAAGGATAAAGCAGGAGGAAATAAAAATTTTAAAAAGCCATCTACGACATTTTTTTTTATAGTTTAACTTCAGAAAATTCTCGTTTGTCTACTTGGCAAATAACACACCATTAAAACATGGAGGTTTATGTACATTGTCAGCATTGCCTACATAGAAGCACAAAATCGGAAACTACTAAGCTATAAATTACATCTGGAGGTTAATATGTCTTAGCAGGATGTTTTTAGTGTTAACAGTAAAACCTTTACCAAAATAAAAAATAAAACCTGATGGAGAGTTTTGCACTAAAAAGATTAACTATTCAATAAATAACAAAGAAAAAAAAAAAAAAAGACAAAAACATTTCTCTCCTCCCAAGTTTGCAGTCAACATATTTTTCTTAAAAAATAGAGACTTTTTTTTTTTTTTTCAAGGGTTGCACAACACAATTAGCATACTGAAAAAGTGTCATTGAGGTCTCAGAGTTGGGCGAGAGAGATACTAATCTATGTACAGGATATATATATTTTTTCACCCCTGAAAACTGTTATTAGTGGACAAACAATCAAGACTTTCAGCCTTGAACCGATATCTAAAACACAACTGTTATATACAAACCGGTTACAACAATTTTTTTTTTTTATATATAGATGTATTTTTTTTTCTTTTTTACTTTAACATAAGGCTAGAAAAATTGGAACATATGATTCGTACTTTAGAAACCTCTAAAATACTTCTCATGTCTGAGGTACTTTTATTTTTTTTTTGTATGTATCTTATCTGTTCTCGGAGTAGCACCTGTCAAAATACTAGTCCATAAAATGTCATAGTAAAATTAGCCTGCGACTCAACAAAATGTATAATGTGCATTTTAAAATAAAGTAGACTTTGGGGGCTAAAATATACGGGGTCGTTTTCGATCGTAACCAGGTATGAACGATCTCTACAATTTAAACGATGGACTGAAGTCGGTCCTTGAATGTAGGATTTGTACCCGCTGTGACCATTTTTGTACATTCCCACAATGAAGCAATGTAGATCGGTGGTGAATTAAAATTATCAAGGGCAGTTGGCTCCATTCCAGCCAGGAGTCCCTCCACTATATACATTATTATGTGCAATTAAAGAGCATCAGTCTAAATTTATCTGAACAAACTCCAAGCCCCTTACTCCAGATTTAGTTTTCCTATATTGAAGGCCATGTGGAAAGAATAAGTAAGCCCATAGACACCAAAGGCCGTCATGGAGGTACAATCCAATCGCCCTCAAGGCACCACATTTTCGATAGGGTCCATAAAGCTTGGTTTCAAGGTGGGGGGGTATAAATGGAGACTAATGCCACTGGTGCAATTTATCTCAGTAAGTAACATTAGCAATAGGCACAGGTATCCTAAAATGCTCAATCAATTGAGGAAAATGAGTTGCAACTTCCAATAAAATTACCCAACCTCACCCGACCTGCACGTCCGTGCGGGTGTCCGTACTCGTACGCTGACAGGATGGATCCTGTCTGCGTCCGAGCCAGGACACCCGCAAGGACCTGCACTTGGGGTGAGTGTAGGGCGGCGTATGCCTGCATACTCCCATAGAGAAGGACAGGGGCTGCGTACTAATCACACACAGCACCTGTCCTTCCCGGGAGCTGCCTGATACGGCCGTGCACGCCACAAAGAGCTGTATGTGCCGGCCTTCATTCGTGTAAATGAGGCCTTAGAGCCAATGATCCAGCCCCTTATACCTTTCAGTAATAAAAGCTTGCCAGAGGTAATAGCCCTTCCTTATTCTAAAACTAAGAAGGTGGTTTGCCTGGATTTGGGGTTTAAGCCTGATGATGACGACACGGTCTGATTTCTGTGCAGCAGAAATAGCTAGCTGGCACCAATAACCACAAGTCATATGAAGTAGCTTTTCTGGTAATCTTATTAGACCGTGGAAAATTGTGTGAAAGTTAACGTGGGAAGGCAAAAATATTTGAATGATGATATAATAGCCTAACAGAAGGCAAAGTGGCTTTTGTGTGCTAAAGCAACCATCAATGAAGGTAATGCACAACTTGAGCTCCAGCTGTGGGCACTGGACTGTCCCCTATCACGAATACAAGACAGTGGCCTCTACCTTGCTGCCAAGATGCCCATGTTGCATTATGGGACACTGGAAGGTTTATTGGACACTTTTTGCTTTAAGTTAACCGGGCGCCAGGAGGGATGGAGATGCCTCTGTCTCCATCACTGATAGCTAGGATCACCCGCGAAGACCTGTAGACACAGAGGTCAACTTTTTAAATTCAATTCTTTTACATCAACCTGACTTTTCTGAGGGCAAAAATTAAGTTCTACTTAAATGCCAACAACAACGCTGTTGTATGTTACCAAAATGACACGTTTTTTGGGGACATCGACCATCCCAACATCACCCTTATGTTTGATTAATTTACGGTCTACATAGACAACCATTGCTTTCCCACTGTTTCAATATAAAAGATCTGGACTGAGGGGCTACCACCTTGACTGCCCTTTTAAATGTCATCACTGATAAAGATGCATCACCGAAACTTTTCAACCTGAATAAGCCAAGGAATTCATACTATAACCTTGGGTATTTTTTTTTTTTTTGCTACTTTCTGAAATCGACCAACGATATCTTACGCTTTCCCCACAAAAAAGTGACCGTTTTAGAAGAGTTTGTTCCATCAAATCAAACCTGGCCCGCATAGCTTAGCCCCCAGTATAGAGGAACAAGTGATTCTCAGGCACTTTATGGTAAATCACAGCTGATGCATTTTCAGCCACAACCTGAAGTTAAATATGGAATTAGTTCAACATAACAAGCTTGCCATCCATCTTCTTTCTCTTCTTTGCGTGCGTCTGCTCGTGGGTTAAAAGGTTTATCTTTTGGGCGAAGCCTTTGCCGCACGTGATGCATACAAAGGGCCTCTCCCCGGTATGAAGTCTCTGATGGGTGGTGAGGTTGGCCTTCTGGCTAAAACTTTTTCCGCATTCGGGACATTCGAACGGTTTCTCCCCCGTGTGAATTCTCTCGTGTCCGATAAGGTTGCTGTTATTCTGAAATCTTTTGCCACAGAACCTACACACGAACCGTCTCTCCTTAGCGAAAGATTTTGGACTTTGCACGATGCTGGAGTTGGGGCTGATGTCTTTTCCAAACACGCAAGACAAAGGCTGTGCTCCAGGCACGTTTTTGATCGATGCTCTTTGAAGAAAGCTGTCCTCGACGGGGGCCTTTGGACCGGTCTCGACCTTTGGCTGGGGTCTTAGTTGGGCCACAGACCCGTTAAACTGTTTCATTTTCATTTTGTGGATTCCTTGGTGAAGTCGAAGGTCGGATAGTTTTAAAAACCTCTTCCCACATTCAGTGCAGTGAAAAGTCCTCTCGGGTTCCTTTGGCGAGGCCGGAACAAAACGTTTGAGGGCGACGGCCTCTTTTTGACCAACAGGCCACCTCACCATTCTTTGGCAGTATCCACTATTTTTTATGTTATACTGGACTTTTTTTGAAGGAATATTTCGTAGGGTAGGACCCCGTGGTCTCTCGATAATTACATCATCATCTGCAGGAAGAATAAAGGACAAAATATATATTTTTTTTCTCAGTTCAGAAAGATAGTCTTTTTCTTGTGGTCATCTGAATGCAAAGTTTGCCTGTGTCTCCTGGTTAATGATCTTTACTATTATTGTATATTTCGTATATCTATCGTAGGGATGCACCGAAATTTCAGACGCCAAAACATTTTGGGCAAAATGACAAAAATGTGGTGCATCCCGAGTTTCTTTCCTCCTCACTGGGCGCTGCTCTGTGTTCCCTCTGACACAGAGCAGTGTCCAGCAGGGTGAAGAGAAACTTTCATGAGGCTGAGTAGGGCGGGGAGGAGAGTGCTGTCAGAGGGGGCCGAGCTCTCCTCCCACTCGGCCTCCTGTGACAAGCAAATCAGGATAAAGAGCGGTGCAGGGAGGAGACAGCTGTCACAGGAGGCCGAGCTGGCGGTTCGGAGGTGGAGTCAGCGGTTTAATTGGAGGCAGAGCTCTCCCGCTCAGCCTACTGTGCCAGCGAGGCAGGATGGAGAGTAGTATACAAACACTCAATGATCAGCTTATTGCTGAGTGTTTGTATAATTATTGAGGACATAGTATGTTTACTGAAGCCCCAATTATGAATATATTACATAGTTACATAGTATTTGGGGTTGAATAAAGACATACATAGTTTATGAATGGACAGGAACACTCAGTATAGAGGCTTCCTGTTCATTTATGACAGGGGTTGCAGAAAAAGAAATTGAGGACTAGGTGTCCTCAATCTCCTTTTCTATTTCAAAAGGGAATTATCAGAGTTCTGTTTAGACCCCTTCAATTTTCCCTAGAACCCCTGAAAGTAAAAAAAAAATAAAAAATAATAATTTAAAAAAAGATTGGAAAAAAATAATTTTCGGTTTCAGCCTGACAAATTTTTTATTTTCAGTTTCCATCTGAAAATTCAATTTCGGTGCACCTCTAATCTATAGTACTATTGTATATTTCTGGTTTTAGTGTCACACAACTACCTTTTGCCTCAATCTTAAACACTATCAAAGCAAAATAATTTCAGATGTTTATTGTTCATATTGAAAACAATAATTCACAATTTAAAAAAATAAATAAAAAAATGTTGACTCCACCTATCAGCATTCTATCTGAACCAATCAGCATATTCCAATCCTAAATAGATTAAAACCACCACCACATATGCTAGAATTATTGATTACACTATATATATGTATGTCCAGTATTACACAAACCTCCCACTACCTCTAAAGCAGGCTCCAGCATTCATTAAAGGAGAACTATGGGGTTAAGTCTTTTCCCCGTAGTTCTCCTTAGGGTAACGGGAGGACACAAACTAGCGTCCTCCCGTTACCCTTGGCTCAGTATACCGCGAGCTACAGCTCGCAGTATACTGAGACTCCGCAGTATACCGCAAGCTGCTGCTCGTGGTATACTGAGAAGGCGCAGCTGAAGCGGATCACGACAATTGTGCAGGGATCCGCCCAGCTGCGTGACTGACAGCTGGCTCTGCCTATCTAGTCCGTCCGTTCCGCCAGTCAGCGCTGGCGGATCGGAGCGGGGAGGGGGGAATCCAGCCCCTCCCCTGTCACGGCAGAGAGCCGTGACAGGATCGAGAAGTGAGCGAACGCCGGTATGTGTTTGCTCACCTCCCGATCTACTGAGCCGACCTGTGACAGTCTCATTGTCAGGTCGGCTAGAACTATGAGGTGAGTGAAAAGCACTCACCTCATAGTTCTCCTTTAAGCATTATGGCATTTTGCAATATGGGTGAGATGTGTTTACATAGCTGAGCATGAAGAGTTGCATGCAAATGTGCTTTCAATGTTTTTTTGGGGAAATCCCTTGGTGATATCATATAACTGTGGCAAGACCCTAGGTATAAACAATACTTTTTTGGGAGCGATGTGAAATATTTCATTGACATCCATGTTTCCGCTGACCCGCCAAATATTATGGATCGCTTGCCATTTCCTCTAAGGAAATCCCTTTTTTTTTTTGATTACACATGCAACTCAGTTTTAGGAAATCGAGGATACAGAGAAAAACGTATGACAGCTTCATGAAGAAAATCAACTCATTTAGTTGTATTTTAAACCCTGCTTCCAAAATCCTGCTAAATAACATACAAAGAATTGTCAGCACTGTACCGAAGATTAATATTTTATTCCAGTCAAATAATTATATGATAAGGATCAAGTGTGGGTGTGTGTGAAAAACTTACCCAGTGTGTAATTAATTACATTTCTTCTGTCCAAGCACACATTTTCACTATTCACTGGTAGCTCCTTCGCTTTAACTCTTAATGTAACCGGTTCAATACTAGTGAATTCTAGCAATGGGGGAAAGACAAGAGGTACTTGTTAATTACCCACAAACCACTCAATAATAATCCATGTGTCCTACAAATCCTCGACAAAAGTTAATGTGACGCTAAACTCAGAAGTTAAATCTTAAAAATTCATTCAAGTACCTGAACTATTAACTATAAAATATACATTTTGTTAATAGTTAGTGTACTTGAATGTATTTTTAGGATTTAACTCCTGAGTTTAGTGTCACTTTAAGTACCTGTAAAGACACCCCTATGCCAAACAAAAGCACTGCTGGGGTGCCTGAGAGGATTTATTTATTACAGGTATTTATATAGCGACAACAGTGCTTTAACGATTTGCACGTTCACATCAGTCCCTGCACTCAAGGAGCTTACAATCTAAGGTCACTATCTCGCATACATACAGGGCCAATTTGGACAGGACCCAGTAAACCTTCCAGCATGTCTTTGGAGTGTGGGAGGAAACCGGAGTATCTGGAGAGACTCTCAGTGCTGCAAGGCAGAAGTGCTGACCACTATGCCACTGTGCTGATTTGGTAACATTGATTTAAAGCCCAACTACACTGGGTGCAATACGCACGCGCGCTGCTGTCAGAATACAATAGCTAATGTGGGAGATTCATCCATGCTATTTAGCATGGATGGAGGAAGCCATTTGACTTTTTACATTCAGCCCCAGGCTGAACAATAAAAATCTACTATTGTATAGCCAGCTATAGTGTGTGTGATGACACTTGTGACTAAAGTGTTACTAAACTCGGGAGTTAAACCTTAAAAATACATTCAAGTACCTTCACTATTAACAAAAATGTATCTTATTTGTGTATCACTCGGCTGTATAACCTCAAATCATCTCTGAATTAGTGCTGACACTGTCCTTCCTTCTGGAGGGGGGCTACTTTTTTTCCCCATGGACCCTGTGTGTGTTGTAAAGTAGTCACGCTGCAAGCTCGCTCCCGGGATGGACTACAATCTCATGTTTAGTATGCTAGCTTGTATTGCCATCTACAACTCTGCCCCCACATAACCAATCAAACAAACCCCCCCACATACATCTTACCTTTTACAGGTGTGTTTTTGTCGCAAGCGATGTAAGGTGTCTTGACGACGAGCTTCTGTGGAACAGTGACCATATTGGTTTTATTTATACCAGAGGTAGATGCTCTGTGTCCTTATGGCAAAATGGAAACAAGATGACCGTTATACTTCCAATTGTGTGCCAACATCACTGTTTTTATAGTCAAACAAGCCTTTAGGAACCTTTGTATAAGCGTGTTGTGGAAACATGGAGCTGCACAAAGATTGAAGAACTCCTCCGCTCAAAATGGATGTCACCAATTTAAGATAATCTAGGCTGCGCTCCTTTTCCCTGTTAAGTTTTCCTTCCTGTCTGCCCCTTCCCAGCTATAGGATGAGATGACTATTATCAATACTGTCTTATAGGCAGACGGTTTTACAAAATAAAATCATTAAGCAAACACTACCCTTTTTATAAAGCTGGCCACACGGTGCAATCCGATTGTAAAATGTAATTTGCATTTACAACAACCATGATGCAACAATATCATTTGAATGGAATGTTCAGTTAACTAAACATGCCAGGACCAAATTTGGCAGCACCAGGATACCTTGACCCTGAATACTTTTTCTACCCAATTAGTTCCATCTCTGGGCAATTAACTCCCCACCCCCCACCACCACCTCCCTGGAGCACCACTAGGGGAAGGCTGCCTTTAAAAGGGTATGGAGCTCCAGCAGAGGATAACTAAACAGCAAAAAAGAAGAAACAACAGGTGTGAATAACAGTAAGGTGAGGTCAATAATGGAAACGTGAGGTAAAAGGTTAAGCCCTGGGAAATCTCATCCTTTAATTTTAGGAAGGGGACATCCAAAAAAAATAAATAGGGTAGGTCTTCCAAGGAGCAAATAGCTTTCAATACAACAGTAGCTGAGAGAAAGGTGTGACAGTCTGAAATAGAGATAGGAGAAGTAATCTTCAAGTAACTAGGGCCCAATTGGACCTCTAAGTACCAGCTACGGAGACCCTGTATAGGTAACAGAGTGTAAGTCTGTAATAGAGAACATACATTCACTGAAGGAGGAAAGTATATATGAGCAGGAATTAGGAAACAAGAGTCTGAGACATGCATTGAACCATGCGGTCAATTTGAAACCGCATTCGCATAATTTGTGTCTTTAGAGTTCAGCTTTAATTCACACTGTACTGTCATCAAAACTGTATTTCTTTCTGTGTGCACAGCTAGAGGATCAGGAGTTACACAGACTTCATTTATTTTAACCGAGTATATAGCGGAATGCCTGCAGTTCAGCTGTAAAAAGACTACAGATGCATGTAAAGTGACAACTCACCAGCTGCATATTTGATACCATGTTTTCCATCTGAATGGAAGTTGTGGCTATTGGCTGGGGGCTGCTGAACACTGACCCTCCGAACCACTGGGCTATTAGGAGTATAACCTGTGAAGGATAACAATAAGGGTCACTAGAAGAGTACCAGGGCAATACTTCCCAAACCACTGACAGCTCGTCTATAGTCCTGCTCGCTTACATAACTGCATTTGAAACTGTGAGAATGCTCTCAAATTGGAAACATTTCAAACAATTTACGACATAGCATTCAGACGGGCCGGGTGCCCTTACTTACATTTTGCTGTGTCTTCCAAAATTTCAACATCGGAAATAACAGAAAGATCTTCATTCGGAGACTCCTGTTTAACAGCTGTGTACTCTCCAAATCTGTCTATAAACTTGCCTAGTGAACAATGGATAAAACACAATTTATTGGAATAGAGTAGCTTCCTGCATTCAGGATAAGATTTCAAGAGATTGTGAGATTAAGTGTTTCATACTTCACGTATGTGACAGGTTCAGTATATAGGATACATTCTTAAAATACTTAAAATAACTTTAAAGGATAAGTGCACTTGTCAAAAGCCACCCTCCTCACCCACATATGCTTACTTATTTCTGACAGCTGCGGTTCCACTGTTTGTTTACATCCAAGGTTGGAAGTCTTCATTGTCCTGGCCATGCCCATGCTTTAGTGCCCCAAACACTTCAATAGGGCTGTGTCCTGAGGCCAGAGACTATAAGAGACCATACCATGAAGGTTTATTGGGCTTTAATGCAACTGTACAGCCAGGACAGGGAACACTTGCGGTGCTGTACGTAAACAAACAGCGCAACCACGTCCTTCAGATTTGGATAAGCATGAGTATGGAAACTGTGGGTTAGGTTGGGTTAGGGTAAAGGGGCAAAAGGGATAAATACACTTTGAATGGAAGGAAAAGCATGTGCAGCAGGAGAGGGGGCGTTAAAGCAAAGTACATTTTAAAACAGTCACCTTAATCGAAGAAAGATTGCCCTATAAGCTCTGAGTGGCACCAGTTAGAGCTTACTCAGGGCCGGGGACACCTACTGCTCCTATGCGACAGTGTCCAGCTGCTCTTGGTTTCTCAAGGGGACTGCAGCTTTAGAGATTTGAGAGGCAAACCACCATTAAATTAGCAAAATGTGACAGTGGACCTAGATGGGTGTCAGGTTTGAAAGTTCGGTAAGTGACTGTATAAAGAGGTGATGGTGGTGGCTTGAAAAGTTGAAGCACAGTGCCTGCATTTTACTTGGATCTGTGTGGTGACATTCACTATATATGAAAAGGTTTGTAGACTTTTTAATGCTAAATTTGGACATTTATGTGCTTCACTGCAGTTTTAAAAGCTCCACTACTACTGCTATACTCTGCATGGGAGAATCAAAAGTTTACTTTAGGCAGTGGTTTATCTTCCTCTATTCCAGCAGTCATTAATATACTGCTATAAGTACTATCACTGAGGTATGCACATAGTCCATGGTGTGTTGCGACTTTCCTGGGTTACACTGAACTAGCTTTGCATTTGAAGACGTACTTTACTTTGAATGGATAAATATTGAATCCAGACACAAACACATAAAACATTAAATCTGGCTTCGGTCATCTTACTTGTGCTGGGGAATGACACAGTCTCTCTGCCATTCTGGTCATAGGTCTCCGTGGCACGCTGCTTCTCACCGAGCTGGACGGTTAACAGAATGTCTGGATTTACCAAAGCGCAGTCTGGGTGTGACAAAAGAAAAGTGAATAGTGAGAGCAGATTCTCTAAATGTTAGAAGGTATGCTGGTGGAACTCTGGACCCGTGTGTGGAGTTTGGTGGAGAGGCAGCTCTCTTAAAAACCACATGGCCCAAGATCTTGCCCTCAGGGGGGAATTGGCATGTATAGTAGAAGAGGACAGAGCCAAGCTGCAGTTTACAGTCTAGATACACTTTCCTTCACAAGAATTGTATTCAAGTATACCAAGCATACAATGTCAACCATATGGTGAAGAATTCCAACAAATTATAATAACAATGTTATACATAGGCATACAATAAATTGTATAATAGTGCAAAAAGTCAACTTAGGGGAGGGAAGATTAGGGAACCTAACATAGTATGTAATATGGTCCTGGGGTACCACAACGTATAGCAGGTAGAAGACATCTTGGGGGAAGTTGCTAGGAAATTCAAGGAGCATGTGGTGGGGGTCAGGGTGGAATTTAGTTGTAGGGGGGGGTAGTTGAGTTGGGTCAAGAGTGAGAGGGCGAAGAAAGAAAGAAAAAAAAAAGGGAAGGGAGGGGGTGTGGGTATGGGTTTATAAGAGCCTCTGTGTCACCTGGTGTTAAAACTAGAAAATAGCAAGGTTTGATAATGATAATAGGTAGGCTGCAAATATGTAATCCAAGGCGGCCAAACTTTTAAAACTTGTCCATGGTTTTACATTAAATGGCCATTAATTTCTCATTAACCATAATGCTGTTTATCCGATTCACGTCAAGTTTAGAGAGGGGGGTCTTCCAGGCTTTGGCTGTGATAATTTAGGTGGCAGTAAAGATATATGTGGCAAGAGTTTTAAGTCACCTTGGAAGAGTGCTACTGAGACAGTCTAGATAAATTTGCTACTGTGACGAATAACATGTATCTGGACTTCAGCTTGGCGCCCTTTTCCTTTTATTACTATACTTGCAACGTGACAATGTTATACAGCTTCCTAACCGCACAGTTCATCAGAACAGGACAAAACCCCAGTGGATTCTCTATAGAAATATATGAAAAACAAACCAGAAGATCAGCAACTCATTAGGGTCACTACAAAAAGTACAAGTTCACTCGTTTATTAGAACTGGGGCACTTGGTTAAATTCACGAGTACACTACCTGCATGGAACCAGTATTCTTTCCCCAAGTATGTCTTTAGAAATCTGTTTTCATCATACAATACAAAAACGTACCGATAGGTAAACTGCCTTCTGACCAAACTGATACCAAAGGCTAAGTGTGTTTGTATGAGTGGTCTAGGGAGAATCGCGTTACACTGTGGCATGAATGAATGTGAATGGTGGTTCAGCGTTTTTTTAAGCTCTGAGGTACATGTTGGAATTCCAAAATTAAAACCATTCAAGTTAGAAAAATTTCCACAGCCCACCTGAACCTGTGACATTCACATTTCCATTCCTGCCACCGACGTGGTAGCTTTTCCGACACGGCTCCTCTTCTTGCTGTATCCGAAGGAAGTTATTAGGATTAAGAATCACAAAGCCTACCGAAAAAAAGAAGAAATAAAACAATTTGTAAAGATAAAGTAAATGCAAACTTGCTTACCTTGCTGCTCTTAACTTTTCTGTTGATTCAGAAAAATAAAAAAATACAAAAGTCGATTACAAAAGGACAACACCAAATATATTAAAGTGACTCTAAACTCAGGAGTTAAATCTTAAAAATACATTCAAATACGCAAACTAATAACAACAATGTATCTTATTTGTGTATCACTCGGCAGTAGATCCTCCAATCATCTCTGAATTGGTGCTGACACTGTCCTTTCTTCTGGAGGGGGGCTACTTTTGTTCCCCATGGTCCCTGTGTGTGTTGTAAAGTAGCCACCACTCCAAACTCGCTTCAGGGATGGACTTTGTGGCCAGTCATATAGGCACAAAGTGACAAGACGTACACTGTACGTCTCCCGTCACGAAGGGGTTAAGGTACCTGAATGTATTTTTAAGATTTCATTTCCGAGTTTAGTGTCACTTTAAGTACCTGTAAAAACACACATAGGTCAAACAAAAACACTGATGGGGTGCCTGAGAGGATTTATTTATTACAGGTATTTATATATCGACAACAGCGTTTTAAAGATTTGCACATTTCACATCAGTCCCTGCACTCAAGGAGCTTACAATCCAAAGTACCTACTGTTCATGCATAGGAGGGCCAATTTACAGAGGACCCAATTAACCTTCCAGCATGTCTTTGGAGTGTGGGAGGAAACCGGAGTAGCCGGAGAGAGCCTCAGTGCTGCAAGGCAGAAGTGCTGACCACTACGCCACTGTGCTGATTTGGTAACATTGATTTAAAGCCCAACTACACTGGGTGCAATACGCACGCGCGCTGCTGTCAGAATACAATAGCTAATGTGGGAGATTCATCCATGCTATTTAGCATGGATGGAGGAAGCCATCTGACTTTTTACATTCAGCCCTCAGGCTGAACAATTACAAATCTACTATTGTATTGCCAGCTATAGTGTGTGTGATGACACTTGGGACTAGGGCGTGACTATTATTTATCTAAACCAGCACAGAGCAATGGAGTGTGATGACAGAAAGCACATTTACACTACAAAAATAACGATTTTAAAGAATTACTAAAGGAAATTCAGTTAACAAATCATAACATTCAGTAGTTCATGGCTATATAGAAAAAAAAGTGCGAGAATTGGATTTGGAATCATCCGATCTCCTTTTTGCTGGACAGTTTGATCTATATGTAAATCAGAGAATAAAACATAAATAAAACCCACATGTAAAAAAAAGTAATAATAAACTGAAGATTCTTGCATGTAATAACTGCATGCAGTTACCAGAATACAATATATTATGTGACAGTGGTCCTTTACCTTCATGCTGACAATTACCTCATTTGCAGAAGGTGCAAGTAAGGTGACTGCTGACAAGAAGCAGAATTGCTCATTAGTATGAAGTTAAATCTGCACTGCATTCTAGCCCACACAAGTCAATAAAATTAGAAATGAATCATTGATTAGGAGGCCTGTGGTAACTGCTTGTTAAGCCTGATGGAGATACAATACCCAATGAAATTAGGATGCCGTGAATTTCTTTGATGACGCCAGTGTACAGATCCTTCTGCCATCCTTCCAGCAGCTCCCATTCCTTTTCCGAAAAATAAACCGCAACATCTCTAAATATCACCTAAAATGCACAAAACAATGAAGATGTCAAAAATAAGCCTTCTTGTTTCATAGCAGCTGCATTTCATATTTGTAAAAAGAACCTGCATGCTATCACTCCCGTGATGGACTACAGTCTCAATACAAATTAGTAAACTAAACATGAGATTGTAGTCCATCCCGGGAGTGAGCTTGGAGCGGTGACTACTTTACAACACACACGGGGACCATGAGGAGCAAAAGTATCCCCCCTCCAAATGGAAGGACAGTGTCAGCAGCTATTCAGAGATGATTGGGGAATCTACAGAGAGTGATACACAAATAAGATATATTGTTGTTAATAGTGAAGGTACTTGAATGTATTTTTAAGGTTTAACCCCTGGGTTTAGTGTCACTTTAATAATCCCCCCACCTCCAAATAATAAACACGAAGTAAAAGCTGAAAACACCCAAGTATTACAAGAATAATTAAAATAATACTTACCTTTGGCCCATGCATCCAGCCACTTCCTGTAGGCATTGGCCACTGTTCTTTAGCGCTGCTTCCTGGGACAGAGGAGTACCTTAAATCCTGTGACAAAGCCCCAGCACAGCGCCTACAGGAAGCATCCAAAATTCCTTTTTATTCCCCTACTATTTCTAGTGTTTTAGCCTGTGGCATCCTGAGACCGGGTGACACCCTTCCGTGATGTAATTGCGCATGCGCGTGACACCACCATGTGCGTGCGTGATGATGTCATTGCGCATGCGCACTCATCTAATTGACGCCTACTGGCAGAGAGAGGAGGGGACGTTCACCCGGCAGGATAAGGTATGCCGCCTCTCTCCTGACACTGTCGGGCTCTCGGTCCATGACCGAGTGCTCAACATTTAGAGGGGGTGACATCAAAATGACTGTCATTCATTTTGGTGTCGCCCCTCCAATGGTGTCCCCCTTGTGATGCCACTGGTTTTAGCTTATAGTTGGTGTTTTCTTAATTGAGGGTGAGTCAGTAATAAGTGGAACTTGCAATTTCTGTATTGCAAATTCCATCTTTAGCTTGCCACTCCTTCCTGCACATATGTACTGGCCAATGAAGCAGCCCATAATAGTGGAGTGGAAGGAAGCAGCAAGCTCCAACACTATCTGGACCTGTCACAGTTTAGCCTGTCAGGATGGACTGTCGTTCCCTGCAAATGTTATCTGCAGGGAAGTGTACCCCTAGGTCCCTGTGCTTCATGCCTGCAGCAAACTGCCATATTTCATTTCCCACAGGTTCATAGCAACGTGCACATTGACTAAAGCTTGGTAATGGTAAACAAAAAAAAAAAAAAAAGCAAATCAATCGTAAAAGGGTTCCTTATATATAGAACGCATTAAACTGAACGCATGTAAACAGACCACTCCTTGCAGATTTGCACTAACACCAGAGGCCGTCTTCATACACATGAAAAGGAATGCTGGAAAAACTTGTTGAACCTTTTCTTTGTAATACAATTCTACAAAACCTACAAACTGTTTACATTTTACTGACCTAAAGAGAAACACTTTTCATTTTCAAGGTTCAGACAAATCCTCTGATGACACCTGAAGGCCATTGAATTCCTGTCAGCAGCCAATTTGGAGCCGGACCTTTCAGTGACAAAGTGCTCAATTGACAAGTTGTGTGGTCATAAGTTTGGACTTGCCGCGGGGTGGGCAAATTCTGAAAGCCTGAAGTCAGACTTTTTTGAGCCTTTTCATTTGTTTTTCATGTGTAACACATTTCACTTGTCACATTCGATCACATATCCTAAAAATAGGGGGGTTATTCCTCATTTCAGGACAGTGGGCAGAGCCATGCAAATCATTTCTTTATGTCCCATCAACCAGAACTGCTGATGTGTAGTACAAATGTAGCCTAATATTAAAGAGCCATTCATTCCAAACTGCTTACAGCTGTCATCACAAGTGCAGTGTATGGAAACCATGGCTTCCATGGAATAGGGCTTGGGACCCAATGGTACAGTACAACCATCCAGGTCATGGTAAGAAGGGACTTAGGGCTAGTTCACACCAGCCTCAGTGCGTTCTGGCCCGAGCGCACTGGATCGCATTCCAGCCGGCTCACCTTGTTTTGGGGCGGGAGGGGGAACTCAATGGCACCGCAGCCACGCCCTCTGGCTGCAGCGCGATCAGCCGCATGGCACATCAATGCCTGCATTCCGGTCTGGTCAGAAAAAATAGTGCATGTTGCTTTTTTTCCTGACCACACCGGACCAGAACGCAGGCATTGATGTGTCACACATTCCCGTGGGGACGATCTCACTGCGGCCGAAGGGCGTGGCTGCTGTGCCATTGAGTTCCCCCTCCCGCCCCAGGCCCTGCACCTCGTAGTCCAGTCATTATTGCAGATTAGCAAATTGCTGGATGGTCCAAGGCATCCAATGAGCTAGCTAGCCAAAGTAGTTGCTGCCAGCCAGCCCAGTTCTCCTGCTGGACTACAGAACATCTTCCCTTTATGTTGTGGAGATAAAGAGGAGAGAAGTCCTGTAGTCCAGCACTCAAATAGGACTAACAACTCTGTTTGGGATTTCAGGGCAGCAGAGGCACTGTGTTTCCAGCTCGAACAGGAATTGAGCAGCTTATTGTATTTCTTGTTGAACAACTGGTATCGTTCCTTACCTGCAGCATTGTTAGAGACATCTAACTTGGGGAAATGTGCATGTATTGCAAAAATATGCTGCATATGTTTTTATTTATTTGAAATTTACTCCAGGCGTATGCTTTACCTTCTAGTTTATTAAGCCAAATAAGATCTACAGCTTACCGTAGGAGATACATGGCCAGCCATGTCGCTTTCTGCTCCTTCTACTTTTTGGCCAAAGATCAAGAGAAAAAGTGCGAGTCTATGTGAAGCTCGGAGCAACGTCCAACAAAGGACAATTCTCACTGATGCCTGGAGAGAGAAAAACAAAGAAAAAACCATCACAAGATAGCAAAGTCCTGCACCAAGTCAGGTGCCTGAAGGTTACCTCACGGGTATTAGGTGGGTGCCATGGTTTGGGTTGGAAGTCAAATCCCAGTAAGGTTCCTCAAGGAAAACTTGAATTACCATGTGTCCTCCTAAATGTATTTCTCAATGCAGCAATCCTCACCCCAGAATCACACTGGGGCGGGATTCAGTAGGTATAGAAAAGAATCACCCCCCTTTAAAATAAACACATTTTGTTGCTTTGCAGCCTGAAAGCCTTACTTATAACCAGTGGCGTCACAAGGTGGGTGCAAGGGGGGGAGGAGGGCAGCCCGCACCCGGGTGACACCATTGCAGGGATGACACCAAAATGACTGAGAGTCATTTTGGTGTGACCCCCTCTAAAAAGTCGGCACTCGGTCATGGACCGAGAGCACGACAGTGTCAGGAGAGAGGTGGGGACCCAGTGGCATACCTCCCCCCGCCGGGTAAATGTCCACTCCTCTCTCTGCCGGCCTCCATCACCAAGATGGCCACCGGCAGGCGTCAATTAGATGACCGAGCATGCGCGATGATGTCACTGTGGGGTGTCACCCGGTGACACGCGGCCTCGGGACGCCCCTGCTTATAACATCCAAGTGAAAGATATAACACCAACATGTCAGAAAAAAATGTAAACGATTCAAAAACAGAATCACAGAGGTAGAAAAAGGATCACCCCCTCCTAAAAATGACTTGTAAACGCAATCAGGTGTCGCTAGCTAATCACCTTCTCAATGGCACACAAAGCTATTTGACTTTCAACTGTGATCAGCTGCGGTCATTTTGATTAGCTCAGCATGAAAAGAGCTTTCCTGGAACATTTCAGTCCCTGCTAGTGCAACTGAAGCAAACAATCAACTGTGGCTGGCACAGTTCTCTGACATGTTGGTGTTCTATCTTTCACATGGATCTTATAAGATGAGTAAATACAGCTGAGTAAAACAAAAACTGTGTCTGTCTTCATTTCAGGCTGCAAAGCAACAAAACTGGATTCATTTAAAGGTGGGTGCTTCTTTTCTATACCCACTGTATTTGTGCCCTGCATTGGGGTTTAAAAGTATAATTACAGCTACAGAAACTATGTCAGAAGCTGGGCCAAAAAACAGGTGACATATCATTTCTAACGCTCATTCACAATGCATTTTCATAGAGGCGAGGTGTCTCTTCACACATATAAGCGTGAACGTGTGAATTCTGCTTTGCATTTAACTTCAGAAGAAAATTAATGTGGTGGAAAAAGAGCAAAAGTCTCAAACCAATTTAAAAGGAACATTTCTGGATGAAATTCCTTTTTTGGTTTTCTTTTTCACAATGAGGATAGAAACATAGATACGTGACGGTATAAAAAGACCAAGTGATCCATTTATATTCCAAGTATCAACTACTCTTTCTTTAACAATTACTTTCTAAAGTTTGTTTTGATCTTTCCCCCCGCTCGTTTTAGGCTGTGTTCACACCTAGGCGTACCGAATATGCGCATTTGCAGAGCGTTTCGCGCCGTGCAGTTTTACAGCGATTCGTGGTAAAAAAAAACGTGTGACAAACGCGCGTTTCCGAGGGCTATCCGGCTGTATCCCAATGGATACGCGTGGCAAATACGCCCCAAAGAAGCGCCTGTACTTTTTTTGGGCGTAGGACGTTTTGCAGCGCGTTCCTACGAGCTGTAAAACGCCGAGGTGGGAACCATGCCCAAAGGCAATCATTGGTTTTCACATGTTGAGCGTTTTATAGCGTGTAGGAACGCGCTGTAAAGCGCCCAGGTGTGAACCAGGCCTAAAAGGTCATGTCCCCGTGTTCTTGATCTTAGCTTCATATTGAAAATACTGTTTACTAAACCATTTTAACACCCTTCATGTATTTAAAAGGTTTCATTCGTGTGTCTGATTTTATCCATCAGACCTTTAACCATTTTTGCTGGCCGTATCTGGACTTGTTCTATCTTATCAATATATTTTTGTATAGAGGAATCAGGACCTCCTTCCGGGGATCCCTCTAGTGAGAACTGAAGATCTATATAGAGGAATCAGGACCTCCTTCCTCCTGCTGGGGATCCCTCTAGTGAGAACTGAAGATCTCTATAGAGGAATCAGGACCTCCTTCCTCCTGCTGGGGATCCCTCTAGTGATACACTAGAGATCTATATAGAGGAATCAGGACCTCCTTCCTCCTGCTGGAGATCCCTCTAGTGATCATCTGAGGGTTAAAGTATGATTAAAGCCTCCAGTGTTTTTGCATATATCTATGGCTAGCAAGCAGTGGATATATGCAAAAAGTGTAAAAAAAAAAACAAACGCTTTCAAAGCGGTTTAACCAGTTGACATCCGCGGTGTTAAACCCCCTTCCCATCCAGGCCATTTTTCAGTATTCAGCGCTGCGGTACTTTGACATTTATTCCGTCATGCAGCGCTGTACTGAAATGAATTTTATACCCTTTTTTGGGGACAGATAGAGCTTTCTTTTGGTGGTATTTATTCACCACTGGGG